AGCAGAGGAGATATGAAATGCTGATCAAATCTACCGCTGTCATGAGGTTGGGACAGCAAATACTCTGGAAACCAGAGTGAGATTCCAAAAGATCGCAAGAGGCTTAGAGTCTGAGCTGAAACTAACAAGATAAGGCACCACATAAAATAACTCCTGCCCTTAGGTCCCAACCAGAGCCATTTCATAGAACGTACTATCATGATGGAAATGTTATGGTAGCCACTAGCTAGCTGCGGCTACTGAGCCCTTGAAATGTGGTTAGTACAAATGAGGAACTGTATATTTAATTTTAGTACTTTAGAGCCCGGTGTGGTGGAGCATGTCTGTAATCCCAGCACTCACGAGGCTGAGGCAGGAGGATTGTTGCAAGTTTAAGACCAGCCTGGGCTACAAAGTGAGCTCAAGGCCAGCCTAAACTGCATAGCAAGACCTTGTCTCAAAAAGACATAATAATGATTAATAGTAATAATAATAATAATCTTAGTACTTTAGCCACATGGAGCTAGTAACTGTTATATTGGATAGCACCACTGTAAATGATTAAGTGCCCAAAGTACAGTATAGAAAGAATCTAGATTAAGAGCAGTTTCGGTGACAATGATTTAAAAATTTTAATTGACCATGAGCTCAATAATGCAATTGAGTGGAAAGGAAGGAAGAAAAGAAGGAAAGGGAAGACAGAGAAAGGAGGAAGAGACGGAGGGAGGAGAGGAGGCAGAAACAGGAAATGAATATGAGATACTACATAAACAGAAACCAGTGATAAGGCCAAGTCTGTGCTGCCCTGGAGAGGTCACAGCTGGAATATGGGGCTCAGCTCTGGAGCACACTGCTGTCACACTGGAACATATCTGAAGGAGGAGGCCAGAATGTCGAGGACCTGGACGTCACGGGCTATCTCCAGACATCCGAAGTGCTGCCGTGCAGAAAGGCCATGAGACGTATTTCCTATTATTTAGATCTAATAAACACAACAAAAAAAATTCCATAGAAATAAACCTCTAGGGATCCTCTGAGGGAAGGACCCATGTCAAATTTTCTTTCTGTTCCCTTCAGCACATGGTCTGCCCAAAACCTGGCTCACACGACTATAACTTTGCTAACTGAAGGAATTCTGCTCAGCTTGAGTGTGAACATCCAGGAGCGCAATGTCAACGCACTATAAATGGAATACTGTAAACCACCCTGGGAGTGATGAACTCCTCATCAATAAACATATTCAGATTGGTTCTTCACTGAGAGGCTGAATCGGGAAGCTGGTGACCCTTCAAGTTGAAAAATGGGCCAATTCTTTTTTTTTGGTGGGAGGGAGGGGGCAGTTGATTCAGGAGGGAAAAGATAAGACTAAGACTATGCTTCCAGACCATCATATGGCTAGATATACAGAATGAATTGATGGAGAGGGACCAGAGGCAAAGAGGACCATTTAGGAAGCACTGGAGCAGAAAATAAGAAAACAGACTGGGTGCCAGTGGGAAGGGAAAGCCAAGGGCAGGTATGATGTGAGTGGGCGCCGGCGCTAGGCTGGGAGTTTGGAGTTGCAGGTTCTAGTCCTAACTTATTGTGTGCTCTCAGGTAAATCCTATCCCTTTGGTAAACCCCTTCCCTTCTCCAGATTTCACTGTCTCCATCTGTGAAATGCAGAAGGATGTCCAAAGTCCCTCCTAAGTCTAGATGCTTTAAATGGCAGGGAGATAATGAAGAATAACCAGGGTAATGTATTGAAAGCCTTTATAAGCTTCAAAGTAACCACATTGTTAGTCTCATTACTATTGCTATTATTTCAAAGGTAGCTTCCATAGGACTTTGTGACTGGACTTAGAGGGAGGGACAGGAAAGGGGCGAGTGGGTGGCAAATACAGGGGTAGGATAAGGGACAAGGACCTCTGAGTTTTGGGAAGGGTCAGTTAACACCAGCCCTCCCTCAAGACCTTTGAAGACAAACAGTGCTCTGTGCCCCGTCATCTAGTAAACTGCTTCCTCATTCCTTCCAGCCACACCCCATACTTGGTTAAAAGAAGCAACCGAGTCTAAGAAAAGCTAGACTCTGCTCCCCTCCTTCATTCCCCTTGGGATTGAGCCCAGGACCTGCCCATGCAAAACACATGATCTGTCACTGAGTTACACCCCCAACCCTGTCTCCCTCTCACCCTTTATTTTTAAGTACTGGGGATTGAATCTAGGACTTTCATGCACTAAGCTACACCCTCCAGCCCTTTTTTATTTTTTATTTTAAGACAAGATCTCACTAAGTTGCTAAATTGTTCAGGCTGGGCCTGAATTTGTGATCCTCCTAGAGTCCTGGCACTTAGGAGTGCACTACCATAGTTGGCTGTTGCCCTCTTTTTTTTGCCTAGGCTGATTTTGAACTCCAAGCAATCCTCTTGCCTCAGCCTCCTGAATGCTGGGAGTACAGGTGTGCACCACCATGCTCAGCTTCCCTCTTTTTAATGTTCACAAATGAGCCCTGAGCCAGATGTGGTAGCACATGCCTGTGATCCCAGCACTGAGGAGGCTGAGGCAAGAGAATTGTTCAAGGCCAGCCTGGGCTACAAAGTAAGTTTGAGGCCAGCCTGGGCTACAAAGTTCAAGACCAGCCTGAACAGCACAGTGAAACCCTGTCTCAAAAAGACAAAAAAAAAAAAAAGAAAGAAAGAAAGAAAGAAAGAAAGAAAGAAAAGAAAAGAAAAAAGAAAAGAAAAGAAAAGAAAAGAAAAGAAAAGAAAAGAAAAGAAAAGAAAAACAAAAAAGAGCCCTGGGCCAGACTTTCCTTAAATAATAATAAATATCATCATCTCATGCAAATAGCCAACATTATTGAACACTTAATATGTGCTAAGACTACGTAATCAAGGAAGATTCCAATATAAATCTGTATGTTTTCAAGGCTGAATTCCTGAAGACTTTCAGCACTTTACTATGTATTTTTGCCATGATATAAAGAAGAGGACAAGATCAGTGTTGCCTCCGATTGTCAGCTGGGAAAACTGATGCTCAGAGAGGTTACATGCAGTCACTTGGACAAATGAGTAAAGCCTCTGATGGTGCAGTTGGGTGCTCTTCCCAGGTCTGGAAGCTTCGTTCTCTTTACGCATCCCAGGGCACCCTCCCCAGGTCTGCTGGGCCTGATGGGTAGGGACTTGCCCGGCCTACTTAAGGGAAGAACTTTACTTGATCTTTAGGGGGTGTGGATTTCTGAAAGGTGAAAGTTAATTCCCACCGCCACCACCACAACAACTCGCACACCCCTGCCTAGGGCCTTGTGTGACAACACTGAGGGCTTCCGCGGTGAGTCACGCGGGCTGACCTGCCAAAGTCACCCAGGCACAAGGTGCTAAGCTTAGTTTAGAAGGGTGGAAAAGTAGGCCAGATGTTCTCATCCCAGGGAGCATGGTTCAATTGCCTCTTGTGCCCCCTATTCCGCTCACATCAAAATACTGCAAATATTTGGGAGAAGCCTTCACTCCACCTTGGGGGCAGAGGAGACATGTGATAGTGTGGATCCCCACCCTTTAGAAGAAACAAAACAGTGAGTACAAAAGAATACCACCAACCTTTAGCATCTGTGGGGGACTGGTTCCAAGAACCCCATTATGGATAACAAAATCTGTGGATGCTCAAGTCTCTTATATACAATGGTATAGGATTTGCATATAATATATGTACATTCTCCTTTACACTTTAACCTATCTCTATATTACTTGTAATACCTACAACAGTACTAAATGCTATGTAAATAATTGTTATACTTCTTTTTTTTTTGGTTAAGTATTCAGGCTGACCTTGAACATATTATAGAGCCTAGACTGGCCTCGAACTTGCAACAGTCCTACTGCCTCAACCTCCAAAGTGCTGGGATTACAGGTGTGCAACACCGCAGTCAGCTAATAACTGTTATACTGTATCATTTAGGGAATAATTACAAGAAACTCTGCACACGATCAATACAGATGCAGTTTTTTCTTCTTTCCTTCCTTTCTTTGCTCCTTCCTTCCTTCTTTACCTTCTTCCTTCCTTCCTCTCTTCCTTCCTACATTAAGGACTGAACCCAGGGAGTGCTGTGCTATATCGTCAACTCTTTTTTTTTTTTTTTTTTTTTTATTTTGAGCCAAGGTCTCACTAAGTTGCCCAGGCTGGCCTTGAAATTGCAATCCTACTACTTCAGCCTCCTGAGTAGCTGGGATTACAGATGTACCCCCAGATTTTTCTAATATTTTTGATCCTTGCTTGATTGAAGCCACAGATGTGGAAGCCCCCAGTGTGGAGTGTTGACATATGATGATTAATTCCAAGGAGAGAAAAGCTCCTGAAAGAGTTGGGACTGGAGTGGTGTCCGTAAGAGTAAGTTCAGAAGGCCAGAGAGGTAGAAGCGCTCGTCAAGCTGCACAAATGCACATCCTTAGAGCTTAAATATATGTGTACTCCAGCTAGCAGACAATGGGGAGCCATGAAATACTCTATGGCGTTGGAGAAAGACTGAGTTTGAATCCAGGCCCTGACCCTTCCCAGAAGTTTGACCTTGGGCAAGTTACCAGGTATTATTATTCCCCACTATTTCCTCTTCCTCTTACACAGTAAGAGGATTAAGCATCCTAACCAGTCTCCATGTGACTTGAGTACTCTCCAGAGGAAGAGTGCGCTTCCCCAGCCCATTGCCAAGCTTGACCGTGTGACTTACTCAGTCCCATGAAATATGAGCTGGAGATCAATATGCCAGTTCTGAGCAGAAACTTGAAGAGCCATTGCATGTGTCAGTGTAAAATCTTACTGGCATTTCTGCCACGGGAAACGTGTGTCCTGGATAGGAGCTGTGCCTTCAGCCTAGATCAAGGAATGAAAACACACACAGAGCAGAGCTGTAGCCATGTAACCATGGCCCCACTGCTACTGATTGCAACCTAAAGAAAAGTGGGGAGATGCTGCGCCTCAGGAGCGGGCTGAGGCATCTTACGGGGAGACCAGGTGCTTGGGGTTCGGTGTGGCTCCCGCCTGGTGCAGAGATGCCTAAGAAACATGGCGTGGTGAGCAAGGCCAGAGGAGAGTCCTATGGCACCGAGAAGAGTAAATTTCAGAGCAAGGAACCAGAGAGACCACCTCTTGCATTAAGTCCTGTAGCAGTTGATGCCAAAGTTTGTGTCACCATAGCCATCCACGCCAAGCCTGGCTCCAAACAAAGTGCTGTGACAGATCTGACCACTGAAGCTATAAATGTAGCAATTGCAGCCCCTTCATCAGAGGGAGAGGCCAACGCTGAGCTCTGCTGGTATCTTTGCAAGGTCCTAGAACTCAGGAAGAGCGATGTTGTGTTAGAGAAGGGTGGTAAATCTCGTGAAAAGGTGGTAGAGCTTTTGGCCTCTACAACTCCAGAAGAGATCTTGGAAAAATTAAAAAAGGAAGCCAAAAAAAAAAAAAAAAAAAAGCAAGAAATGAGAAGTAAAAAAAGAAATGTGGGTTGTCAGCCGCTGAGGGTTTGGGGTTGTTTGTTATCATAATTTAGCAAATGCTAATGGGTACACCTAGAGTGTACCTATATTAGAGTACACTTGGGAGAATTAAATAAAGTCACCTCATGAAAAATGTGTGGCCATTTTTATCAGAGATTTGTATTACATAATGACTGCTGTGCCCATGCATGCATGGAAGTTTGATAAACAACAGAAATGGTGCTTACAAAAAAGTAACAAAAGATGGGATCCTGAGTTGAGTAGGATCCCCCCCATTTCATACCTAGAAACTCAAAATATTGTATGAGCTTATTTGGAAATACAGATATAATCAGTTAAAGATTTCAGGAAGAACTCAACCTGAATTTTTTTTTTCCGGTACCGGGAATCGAACTTATGATGTTGTGCTTGCCAGGCAGGCGCTGTGCCACTGAGCTAAATCCCCAGCCCCTCTCAACCTGAATTTATTTTCGTTTTTTTTTTTTTTTCTTCTGGTACTGAGAATCAAACTTATGATGTTGTGCTTGCCAGGCAGGCGCTGTGCCACTGAGCTAAATCCCCAGCCCCAAAAGTATTTTCGTTTTTTTTTTTTTTGTCAACCTGAATTTAGAGTGGGCCCTAAACCTAATGACTGATGTTTTTGTAAGATAGGAGAAAACACATGCAGAAAGAGATGAAGATGAAGGGAAGACAGAAGCGATGCTCAGAGAGTCATGTCTACAAGCCAAGAAGTGCCAAGACTGCGGGCAACACCAGAAGCCAGGAGAGAGGCCTTGGGTGTTTTCTCCTTCACAAGGAACCAGCCCTGCTGACACCTTGACTTCTGGCCTCCTGAACTGTGAGAAAATAAATATCTATTGTTTTAAGTCACTTAGTTAGTGGTAATTCATGATGACAGTCCTGGGAAACTAGTACAGATGGATTATTTTTAAAGTAATACTGAACAATTGGTTATTCATTTGGAAAAAAATAAAATTGGATTTCTGCCTCGTAGCATGCATGAAAATAACCTTTGATTAAAGAAATAAATCTCAAAAGCAAAATTTAAATATTTTAGAAATAACTAAGTAAAATTATCTTTAGGACCACAACAAAGGAAAATATTTATTCAAGAAGACACAAAAAAAAAAAAAAAAAAAAAAATCACAAATTGTATTAGTCTAAATTCTCCAGAAACACAGAACAACAATAGGATGGGGCGGAGGGAGAGGTTGATGATAAGAAACTGGCTCATATGGTATGGAAGCTGAAAAACCCCAAGATCTTCAATCAACAAACTGGAAACTGAGAGAGCCAGTGGTTCAATTCCAGCCTAAGTCTGGATACCTGAGAACAAGGAGAGCCAATGGTGTAAATTCTAGCCCAAGTCAAAATCCAAGGCAGGAGACATGTCCCGGCTCAAAGGCAGTCAGAAAAGAGAAAGAATTCTCCCTTATCCTACCTTTCTGTTCCATTCAGGCCTTCAGCAGATTGGATAGGGCCACTAACACTGGGGAGAAGAGTCTGCTTTACTTAGTCAATAGGTTTATATATTAATTTCAATGGTGGTGCATGCCTCTAATCCCAGCACTGAGGAGGCTGAGGCAGGAAGATTGTAGCAAATGTGAAGCAAGCCTGGGCTAAATACTGAATTCACAACTAACCTAAACTACATAGTAAGTCCTGTCTCAAAAAAACAAAACATTAATTTCATCCAGAAACAATCTCACAGACATATCTAAAAGTAATGTTAGGGGCCAGGGATATAGCTCAGGGGCACAGCACCTGCTTGGCAAGCATAAGGTCCTAAATTCAATTTCTGGTACCAAAAAAAAAAAAAAAAAGTAATGTTCAACCAAATATCTGGGTATCCCATAGCCCAGTCAAGGTGACATATAAGATCAACCAACACAAATAAAATATAAAAATATTGGTATAGTCAACTATGTTAAATGTAGAAATTCTGTGTGTCAAAAATTGCCATAAAGAGAAAAGATTTCCAGGTGTGGTGGCACATATCTGTAATTTCAATGCTCAAAAGGTTGAGGTAGGAGGATCGCCGTGAGCTCAAGGTTAAGCAAGTTCAAGGCTAGCCTTCACTACATAGCAAGACCTTATCTCAAAGAGAGAGAGAGAGAAAGAGAGAGAGAGAGAGAGAGAGAGACAGAGAGACAGAGAGACAGAGAGAGAGAGAGAAAATAAGCCAGGCATAAAGTATATGCCTATAATCCCAGCTACTCAAGAGGCTGAAGCAGGAGGATCATGAATTCTCTAGCCCTGAGTTTGAGGCCAGTATGGGCAACAAAACAAAACAAAAACAAAAGATTAGTAGGAAGAAATCTCTGCAATGCTTTAGGCTGACAAAATATGAGAATCCTGGTGGCACATGACTGTAATACCAGCACTCAGGAATTTGACATGAGGATCATGAATTTGAGGCCAGCCTGAGTTACATAGCAAGAACCTGTCTCAAAAAAAAAGGAAGAGAAAAAAAGAAGAGACTCCAAAGTATATAAAGAATTCCTAACAATCAATATTAGACAAATGGACAAAAGATACAAATAAGAAACTCACAGTACTAGAAATATGAATGGCTATCTATGTTTAGATCTAAAGTGTCCCTCAAAAGTCTCAGATGTTCACTGGTGGGGCTTTCAGTAGATGACTGGATCATGACAGCTCTAACTGCATCAGTGAACTGAGCTACTGATGAGGTCATAATTTAATGGCATTAATGGGAGGTAATGGAAATTAAGGAAATAGGGCCTGGTTGAAGAGAGTGGGTCAGAGGACATGACCTTGGGGACCATATATTGTTGTTGGCCCCATCTTCTCTCTCTGTCTTGTTTTTTTTTTCTGCTTTTTGGCTCTCATGAAGTGAGCATTTCCCACCATGGTGCCCTTCCACCATGAGGCTTCTGCCTTGCCATGCCTCTAAAAGCAACAGAGCCACCAACCATGGACTCACACCCCTGAAACCGTGAGCCAAAATAAACTTTTCCTCTTTTAAATTGATTTTCTCAAGTATTTTGTCACAGAGATGGAAATCCGACACAATGGCCAATAAGCATATAAAATGCTCCACCACACTAGTTATAGACTCATGATATTTTCTCATGAAGTGGAAAGTGTGTAGGCCTCTGGGTCAGCAATAATTCTACTCCTTGACATAAAACCCAGGAAGGGTTGTGGATGTCGCTCACTGGTAAAGTGAATGCTTAGCATGCACAAAGCCCTGGATTCTATCCACTGAACCACCAAAACAAAACAAAAAACAGCCCTATTGAAAATCCATTCTATACTTTGGTGACCTGACTAATTCTTCCAAAGTACAGCTCCAAAGAGGACCAGCTCCAGCTCCAGAGAGAACCCAAACTCGATAGCTCAGGTGTGTCTCTATCTCTTATTTTCAATTCCTCACACTTTTCTCTCTCTCTCTGTGTGTGTGTGTGTGTGTGTGTGTGTGTGTGTTTGTGTGTGCATGTGTTTGGGTGGGGGATCAAACCCAGCACCTCACACAAGCATTCTACCACTGGACAACACCTATGGCCTTTCACTTCTATCTCTCTTGAGCAGATCCTTCCCCTTCTCTCCACTCTTGTATACCCCTCTGGCTGACCTCAGCAGCTATACCTCACCTAATTCTCACCTCTTTTTTAAAAATAACAATCTCGGGGCTGGGGATTTAGCTCAGCGGCAAAGAGCGCCTGCCTGGCAAGCGCAAGGTCGTGAGTTCGGTTCCTGGTACCGGAGAAAAACCAAAAAAAAAAAACAAAAAAAAAAAAAAACAATCTCTCCCTTTTCTTAGGGCCCTCTTCTTTTTGCTCATACATAGAACCTTGTATCCTCCAGTAGGATCTATCTTTCAGGCCACTAGGATAAATTCAAGTAGCCTAAGCCAACCCCATTACAATCTTCTCTGGGCCTTTTCTGCTAAAGGAGGCAAAAAAGGCTGTCTTGCTTTCCTCTGACCTCCTATATTCCTACCTGGACCTCTCTAGAAAGTGTAGCACTTTCTGCTTTGTTATATGCTATTCTCATATTCTCTGTGTGATGGGCTCAACTGCTGCTATGTCTAAGTGCTCAGTTTTAACAAGGATACACTGACTACCTCTGAGGATCAGACCTTGTGCTATGCTCTGGGGATATAGAGCTGGATAAAGCATATATTGAGTGGTTGGATGAATGAAAATGCCCCTCTGGGCCTTGACCAGTTTATCACAGAAGGTTTGAGGAGAAGAAAATGAGATATAAGATTCAAAATCATTAGTCAGCTCTCCAAGATCGCCTAGTCTGGTTCTAGCTTTGTCCTCCCTCCACACACTCGTCTCCAGCCAAACCAAAGCATAGTCCTGGAACACCCTGGTTGTTCCCGCTGTGTGCGTTGCTAGGCTGTATGCTTTTTCAGTCTTTCTTCCCATTTTCCCTTCCATCTGGGCATTTTTCATTCTCTGTCTCGTTTCACCCTTTCATTTTTACCTCCACTCTCCCTGGTTCCTCTCTCTTCTCCCTTTTCCTCCCTTTTCACTCTTCCTGAGCCTTCTCTTCACAGTTCCTTCTGTCCCACCCTTCCCTCTCAATTTTCCTCTTCTATTTCCTGGCATTCCTCCCTCTCTGCCCGTGTCTCTCATGAGTGTACACAGTCCTTCTCTCGGCACAGAAGATGAGACAAGGCAAATCTGAATCAAACATCTAGGTCACATCACGAGAAGCCCTCAAAGTGGGGTGGAAGAAATGTGGAGAAGTGGAGGGGAAGGGAACCTGGCGGCAGAGAGACCTCTGCCAAGCAACTGCTGGTGAATCCTCAGAGAGTACCATGCCGGTTATCTACCTCCAGCCCAATCTAGCTTCCGGCTTTCCTCACTCTGAGCAAAGAATTAGGAAATGTCAGAGCTGTAAAAATCCCTACATCCATATCGTCTGGCTCCATAGTTTTGCAGCTGAGAAACAAAGCCAGACAAAAGAGAAGCTACTAGTCTATGCCACTCAGGGAGTCAGTAGTTTAGCAGGGACTGGAATCCCAGGTCTCCTGCACCCCAGGCCAGTGAGCACCCTTTTACCCACTCCACACTGCCTTCTTTGATCTAGGCGCTCCTGTCCCTTTACCCTGACTTCTACAGCACCAGGCCCGGGATTGCATCCTAGGAGTCCTCACCTCTCGTGAGTACAGGGGCCAATAAATTGGAGGCAGAAGGGACAAAGCACGTCAGAAGGTCTGGCGCTAAATCCCAGGAAAACATGGTGGTGGAAGGGATGGTGAAAATGTCAATCTGACCTGTAGGGGGACCAGTCTCCTTTTTGGAGAGACCCACACTCAGCAGGCTGAGTTAAGGGACATTCTGGTTCAGCAGGCCATCCTGGTGGCGCCCTCCTGACCCTTCCAGCCTAGCTTGCAGGCCCCACCTCATCCTGCCAACCTCGGACTGAAAGCAGAGGCCACCCAGGGGCAGGAAGGCCCATGACTGCTGGTGGAGGCAGGCGGCTGGAGGCGGAGAGGGGGAGAGTTTCCAGCGGCTCCACTTTCAGTCTGGCTCCTCTTGTCCACAAAGGGCCACTGTCTGAGCACAGAGGGACCCTGGAAGGAGGCCTCCCAAGGTGCTCAGCAACAGGGCCGGGTTTCATCACACTGGGCCTCTGGGCCAAGTAAACATCAGGGTAGGAACAGGCCCAGCAGTTTCTGCAGATCAGCTCCTGGCTCCAGTCATCTTAGCGGCTTCCTCACCCAGGGCTTCCCTGAAAGAATAAGTAGGACTAAGGTCATTTGCCCAATTCTGTAAGCTGCAGAAATTGAGAGGCAGGGATGAGAAGCTGGCTCTATCCATTGTTCAAGGTACAGACAACCATGCCATACCCTTCTTAAAGTGCAGGAGTTTCACAAGAAATTTTAAAATTAGTTCAGAGGAGGGAGAGAGCTATGTGAGCTGGAGTAAATCAGGGAAAACTTCCTGGAGGAAGTATGATTTAAGCTTAGCCTCCATGTTTAGTATTCTCTCCACAACTGAACAGTAAGAGGAAAAGCTTTTCAGGCAGCATGCGCAATGCTGACAAGGTATGGGGTCTGGAAACCAGGAGTATTTGGGGTCACTGAAGAGATCTATTTGGTGAGAGGAAAGGATGGGAAATAACTGGAAAGTCTGGCTGGGGATTAAACTAAGACTAGTCTTAGCTAAGTTGAAAAGTCAAGCATAAAGCAGTACATGGGTGAAAGCAAAAGTTTAGAAGATTCTTCCAATGGTTTTAAATGCCCTAGAATGAGGCCCAATCCTCTGGATAGCTTTGGGCTTATTGTAGCCTTTCTCTGTGGCTTGGGTGCTTCATCTTTAACATAACAGGGTTCCAGGGCTGGGGATGAAGTTCTTGTGCTGAGCATGTACAAGACTCTAGCTTTAATCCCTAGAACCCCAAAAGACAATAAAATAAAAGTTATACCAGAGAATCTCAAAGCCCTTGTCCATTTCTTGTCTCTTTTTTTGTCTTTTTGAAACAGAGTCTCGCTATG